AACTTGAAACGTTTCAGTTTTATTATTATGAAATTGCTAAATAGCTATGAAATAGCCATCATACACACATTCGGAAAAGGGAAAAATGAAGAAACTATTAGAAAGTGTTTGTGTAAATTTCCGGAAGTAAAGGAACAATTGTGTTGTTGTCCGCGTAATTTCTTGTCAATCTCTTGCCGAAGGCATTTTCCATCTATGTATATGCATTTTTTTTTTTTTTAATACAAATACATATGTATATGTGTATGCATATGCATGTTAAATTCAGTATCCTTGTAAAACAAACCTTTTTAAAAGTTATCTTAAAAAATATTTTGAAAATGGTTTCTTTGCTTTAAACTTTCCAAGATCATAAGAAATTTGTGAATTATTTTTTCGAGTTAATCCCAACATTTCACATTAAACGTGGCTTTTTGAATGTTTTGAGCCATTGGCTATCTTCAATCAATTACTGGTGCTAAAAACTTTTCTTTTTTTTTTAAAAAAAGTAAAGTGATGGCATAAAAAACAGTATGATGCATTTTTATTTCTTGACAGAAATGAATTTTTTCAAGAACATCCAGAATAAAAGTTGGACAAGATGAATTTGACGAGAAGTATATCATTATCACTTCTATGTGAATCACTGAATCATTATCAAGTGACTTCAAAAAAAGGATTCATTGTTAACACTTCTATGTAAATCATTGAATCATTGAGTAATTATCAAGTGACTTCAAATGATAAAATGTTATGAGCTGATCCGAATAAAAATTATTCTCTTCGTCGCTTCTTTCTTGATTGGATAAAACTCCCTTTCTGATCAAATTCTTAGGTCGCTGGTTTGAGTCCGGCCTGGTTGGACCAGATTTGTCGCCGATTTTCTTCAACCGTGACAAAGACTGAGAGTTCTTTCTGCCCCTCAAACTTGGGCAATTAAACCTTTATTAAAATAACTTTATTAACGAGCTTGCAATTACGAAGAACAAAGAAGACCAAATGACCCCGACATTGTATATCCAACCGACCTCGATGAAATACATCTTTCCAAATAATTTTAGTGATCAAGATCCTCTTCTTCTTCGAATCGAGAGATCCTGACACAACTCTTCACAATTACCACCTTTACTAGAGCACATAAGCACAATGGGACCACAATACTAGCTTACATACTGGCACAATTTATCTACACATACAATACATTATATCAGCAGTATCAAAGCGATTATTGATTCATTGGTTCTCCTCGCAATTTCAACGACAAATGACTTCAAATGACAAACGACAAACGACAATTGTTAAAGAGGGAAATAAAAGCACGAAACAATCTATTGATAATGATTTAATGAATGTTATAAATAATTCAAAATTTGATAACTTAAAAAATAGAACAGTAGTCAATAAACATTTAGTATTACAATTTATTGAAATAATTGTGAATAAACAAGTTCATCCACTGTAAAAAAAAAAAAAATTTTCAAAAATTAAAAATTGTTTAAATTTTTTTGATTTTCAAAAACTTCACTAAAGCATATAATTCAATAAGATGAACAAGTATACGTGAATTCAGCTAAAGTCTATTAATTTAACTACATTCAAACGTGTTTATTGTCATACCATGTTATTTCGGAAGTTTAATTTCATGCTATTAATATTTTGAGATCATTGATTGCTATTCGGACTACATTATTTTCAGGTTCTCTATATTCACCACTTTGAACTTTTAGTAACGGCTGAAAAATAAAAAAAAAGGAGGAAAAAAAAGATTTGATTCATTGTTTTCTAAACTATTTGTTTCATAAAAATTAAAATTTTGAAATTTTGTACAATTAAATTAAAGTGAAAATTTAGGAGGAAATTAAAGATTCGATCTAAATTTACTTATTTTTCCGTATACTTACTTTTTTTGGGAATAAATACCATATGTGTATGCTAATTGTCATGCCAGCCAAATACATTATTATTGATATGATTGAGTGCATCAACAATGACAATGTAAACATCGTTTAATTGTGCTATAAATTTTTGTTTTTTAAATAAAATTGAAATTTAGAATGAAGTCTTAAAAAAGGAATAAATGTTGTCATCTTTTGTTATCTTTCAGTACAGCAAAAAATTTTCTAATTATAGCAATAAATATCAGTCTTTCATAGAAAAAGATTGTCAAATCTTAATTAAAATTTGATTTAAAATTGAATCATATGGTAAAATCATTTGATTAGGTTACTAAAGACAAAAATGTT